TTTTTTTTTTTTTTTTTTTTTTTTTTTTTTTTTTTCCCCTTTCCTTTGCATTATTCCTCTCCTTCTTGTCCTCGGGGTTTTGACCTGCAGCCGCTGGTCCACACTAGGAGAAACAGAATGGGATCTGCTGAACTCAGCAGGGGCGCGCCTGTTTCCCCGTTCTGGATCTCTGGTGGTCCTAGAGGTGAGGTGCTTATCCCGGAAAGAGCCCCCAAAAATTCTTAAAAACGAGATTCACTTAATAAATTATAAAAAGAATTTAATATAAACAAAAGACAATTAGGAGACAAAAGAAATAAAGCAAAGGGTTAAAACGGCCGGGTGCCCTGGTGGGTTACCAGGAACACACCTGGTATCTTAGGAGTGTCCTTTTTATCCCATCTTTGCTGTGAGAGGTTAATGCATATTCAAGCATGTCCCCTCCCTGGTTCCACCTTCTTGGATCATGCTGCAGATGGTCACTTGTTGATAACAGCCTGGGCCCCTCATCCTTCTCCTGAGGGCAGCTGGTCTTCATATCTTCCGCTGATAACAGTTTGGGTTCTATTGTTCTCCTGATAAGAACTTGGGCCCCAGTGTCCTTGCCCTCTGGGGTTTCCTTGCCTTGTACCTAGGAAATTCTTTTAAACTTAAGACTTGTTAGCATAGCTAAAAAGTATTTAATATATAATATTCATCTGCGAAAGCCAATATCACAATACAAATTTATAACAGTGAATTATGGCAGAATTAGCCCATGGCAGAATTACAAGACTGTAAGTACTATAAAATGAAATAATTTTTTACATTCTTCTGTCTTTCACAGACTGTTTAAACTTATGTTGGCTTGATGTGACCAACAGAAGAGTTTGGCTCTGCTTTTAATTCAAACAAGGAGCAGAGCTGGAACCTGTTGAAAAGAATCTCTTCCCTTCCTAGCTTATGCAAACTGCCAGGGTTCTTTTTTTCCAGCTCTGGGCTGGAATTTAAAATTATCCCAGCAACAAACACTCCTGTAAAGTAACTGATATAAATTAGGGATTTGGTGTGTGTGCTCACTAACCCCTGAGCCCCTCCGAGCTGCAGCTCCCTGTTCTCTTTGCAGACAGAGGCTGGCTATGGATGACAGTCGTGCGTCTGGCCTGCTGCACAGCACATCCACACAGGAGCTAAGGGATCATCCTTGCACAGCCCATCCTGGAAGAAGAGAGTTCGCTGATGAATCCGACACCGTTTTATGGCATGGCAGCAGAATAAAGGCTAGAATTGGTCCTATTCCAAGCCCTTTACATTTTGCTGTGTGTAATGGAGACAGGAACTACGAGTTTCCTATTCATGCACAATTTGCTGTCTGAGAGCACACAGTCCTCAAGGTCACAGGGGCTTGCAGATCTGTGTCTGAGATGACTTTAAAAACAAAACCAACCTTTATGTGCAACACCTGTGCTTCAGAACTTTACAATACAAATCACAAGCTGATTCCGACTGTTAAGTGGGAAAAAACTAAACCAAAGAACAAAACCAAAACTCTGACCCCACAAAACAAACAAAGAAAAGAACCACTAAGAAAATAAACCAGAACCAACACCAAAAGCCCCACAAATCCAGAAAAAGATAAAAATCAGGTGAAGGAGGCAGAGATCCAAGAGCAACAAATGGGCAGAGGAACTACAAAAAGACAGGTAATAAGAAGGGGCAGATAAGAAGTGGCTATGGCACCAAACTAGCCAGGGCATCTGAGATACTCTTCTCAAAAGCCTTCTGAAAACCATCTGACACAAAAATAAACAGAAAATAAATGATGATGTCTGTGATAATGGGGCTCTGCATGTTTAGCTGTAATCTGTCCACTGTGTGTAAGTTCTGTTTTCCTTGTCTTAAAAACGAGATTCACTTAATAAATTATAAAAAAGAATTTAATATAAACAAAAGACAATTAGGAGACAAAAGAAATAAAGCTAAGGGTTAAAACGGCCGGGTGCCCTGGTGGGTTGCCAGGAACACACCTGGTATCTTAGGAACACTCCTTTTATCCCATGCTTGCTCTGAGAGGTTAATGCATATTCAAGCATGTCCCCTCCCTGGTTCTACCTTCTTGGATCATGTTATTTTCTGCTGGTCAGCATTATTTTTGGAGTTTTGGTTTCCTTTTTGCTGCAGATGGTCACTTGTTGATAACAGCTTGGGCCCCTCATCCTTCCCCTGAGGGCAGCTGGTCTTCATATCTTCCGCTGATAACAGTTTGGGTTCTATTGTTCTCCTGATAACAGCTTGGGCCCCAGTGTCCTTCCCTCTGGGGTTTCCTTGCCTTGTACCTAGGAAATTCTTTTAAACTTAAGACTTGTTAGCATAGCTAAAAAGTATTTAATATATATATTCAACTGTGAAAGCCAATATCATAATACAAATTTATAACACTTGTTAAGTCACATCATCTGGCAAGGCTGTTTTTCTGTCCAAAGGAAAAACACTGCAGTGGAAAGGAGGCCAGCTTGGAAAATACTAAAAGCAAGAGGTAAAAATAATATGTTGTTTGGTAGGTTTGCTGTTTGCTCACGGGTTTTTTGCCTGTCTTTGAAAGGAGCTCCTTGGATGTTAATGCAAGCAAGAAGTCCTTTGTAAAGGGCTGTCTTTGCAAAATACCTGCCACTTCTGTGATGCAAGACCGAAACAGCTTCCCTTGGGCTGCAGCTGGAAGGCTTGAAAATGTGTTCCAGAAACTCGTGATATGACAAAGTCTGATGAACACAATTTAATGTCATGAACTGCAAGATGTAAGTTACCTGATAAAATAATCCGAGTATTTCCATGGCAAGCAGCAGGAAAGGGCTGTGCATTGGAATGACAGGAAACAGCCCCAGAGTGCATGATGGACAAGTTTCCCAGCCAGAGCAGACCAGAAGCACTGGGAGCACAAAGAGACACACCCAGGAGGCCCAGCAGCTCCTTGCTGAGGGCCCATTTCATGCAAGGACTGGCAGTCAGAATATTAAATCAATTAAAAATAAAAGGGTGGGGGCAGGCAGCAGTGAGGTGGCCTCAAAGGTTCAGCTCTGCACTCTGCTTTTGTCACCAATATTCTCCTAGTTCCTGTGTTGGTTTTCCTAGAGCATTTGTAGCCAACAGAGCTTCCAGTCCCTTTGATCAAATCAGTCTTAAGAGCAGTATGAGTCTGTGTCAGTCATTTGGATGTGAGCACTGACAGGGCTCCAGGCAACAAAAGAACATTAAGTGCAGGCCACCCCTACAGCTTTTCATATTAATGAGCACAAAGCCTTTATTTTTGCAAACAGAGGGAGGTATGTTGGGGGCATTTTTGCACCATCAGGTCGAGGTACAAGGCTGCGGATCTACACCGCACTGTGGTAAGGAGAGGAACACAGGTGGGGACAATCCAGGCTGTTAGCAGTGCCCCCACCCCTTCATTAGGGACATCACAATTGCTTTTTGAGCTCCTAAAGCAGCTGGTGAACAGCTCTTCTTCTTTTCTCGCCCCCTGCACACTGACAGGCAAGTTGAACAGAAAATCTGCCCCTCCCTCTATAATCTCTGAGCACCAAAGCAAAGAACAACAACAAAAAAAACAAAAACAAAAAACAAAAAAACAAACCGAAAAGAAAAGATCACTTTGTGCCCAGGCAGATGCTTTTAAGAGCTTTCTAAGATTGACTAAGCCAGTGCTAACACCATTAATCTCAACAAATATTTTTACTTCCAAAAGTATTGTGCTGAATGAAGTGTCACACATTGTGTGCCTTGCACAAAGCATGGGCCGGCTGCTGCCATGCACAGGTGAGTGCAGGGTCAGACCCTTTACCTTCAGAACCAGCCCTGCCTTCCTGAGGGACAGAAATTCATCTGTCAGAATCCCTTGGAGCTTCTGGAGCTGCTCTTGGCTCACCTGTGGATAATTGGGCTTCTGTGGAGAACTTTGAGCTTGGTTCCAGCACATGGGGTCTGCAGAATCTAAGCAGCATCTTTGTGGGGCTGAGAGGAATGACGCATTTGCCTTTACAAACAAGCTGTGGGTCTGCTGAGGAATAAAAATTGGATATGGAAAGAGAAAAGAAACAATGGTGAAAAACCATAAATGCTATAAGAATTAAAAATTAAGAGGGAGAGTTATACATTAGAGGGGAATCTTAGGTATCAGGCACTCTGGGAAGTCTGTACCTCTCAAGTACCTCAGCCAATGGGGAAAGAGAGAGGGATGTGTCACCAGGAAATTAGGATATAAAGGAGGCTGCGCCCTCCAAAAATTGGAGAGAACCCAGGGGAATGCCCCATGGCCTGGCCCTTTATTCAAATAAAGTGAAAGGACTCCTCTGTCTCTATTTTGGACATAAACCTCTGGTGTTTGTGGATTAATTTTCCTGACAAATGGTGGCTTTGTCCGGGATATTTGCACCATCCAGGGCGGTGGGCAGCGAGCGCAGCTGAAGGCGCCTCACCCAGTTTTGGTGGCCAGCTCCCCTTGGTGGTGGCCAGCACCGGGCGATCGATTGGGTTCCCGAGACTGTCCAGGAGACAGACGAGAGGTGGACCAGGGGGGTCCATGAAGAGTCCACAGGGAAGGACCACGGAAAATCTCACTGGTGAGTAAAATGGGATCTTTGGGGAGCAAACTTGAGAGTGCACCCATGGAGGGTTGCAAAGGTAAAGCTGGGAAGGGCCCCCAGCAAAAGGAATGACAGTCCCATAATAGCCCCCAAAAATCCCTTGGGGAGAGTGCTGAGCTCTTGGGACAGATTGTGCATTCACCAGGAGGTAACTGGGGAGATAATGGTAAAATATTCTTATTTTGTGTGGCCAGAATATAAATTGCCAAAGAGGCTTATATGGCCGCCTTATAAAACCAATGGAATTTGTTTGTGTCGCATTTTATGGAACTAGGTAGAGGAGAATTGGAAAAGATAGACTGAAAGGGAATGTAGATTGATATGGTTTTGACAAGCAGCAGGAGAAATCTATGTGTCAAGAGAAAGAGGAGGAAGAGGAAAACAGTGAAGATTAGGATGTTTTTCAGCACCTTCCCCTGTCTTGTAAGCCAGTGTTGCCAGCTGCAGGTCCCCTGTATCCTCAGCTTCTGGAGCAAAGGGATCAGGGCAATGCTGTTCCTATGGTCCCACCTGCAACTAATAATGGTGTAGTGGGAGGGGAGCAGCATATCATACCACCCCCTAGAACTAGAAGAGGTGCTCAGTTTAGGGCATTAGAAGCCCCCCAGACCCAAGAGACAGGGGTACACCAGATGCCACTCAGCCAAGTTCCTTTGGGAGGTCAGGGGGGAGGGTTTGGCTTTGTAATTGTAGCACTTAGCACCCAGGATATAAGTGGATTGAAAAAAGAATTACCCCCATATTAAGATGATCCCATAGGGGTAGGGAAATGATAGAAGAAGATTTGGGCAATGCAGATTATACCGAGAAAGATTGAGATTTTCTTTTGGGGGTTTTGTTTGGGTCATCAGAGAAACAAACGATTTTGCAGAAAGCTGGGCAGCTGTGGGAAGATGAACATCCACAAGCAGTGGGGGAGTCTGGACCTAATGCACCTACAGTGGATGATGCCAAGCCCCAGGCAGAGCCCCAGTGGGACCCAAATAAACAGGCCAGTATGGCTCACCTCTGCAATTAGCATGCTTACTTGATTAGGGCAATCAAATCAGCGGCTCCCAGAACTAACAACATAGCTAAGGCTATGTGGTTAGAACAAGAAAAACATGAAAGCCCCTCTCATTGGTTAGAGAGGATTAGGGATGCCTTGCGGAAGCATGGGGGGATGGATCCTGAAGGACCAGCCTTTGACACATGACTGAAGGTACAATTTGTTACTAAGGCCTAGCCTGATATAGGGAAAGTGTTACAAAAAGATCAAGAGTGGCAGAATACGCCTCTAGAGGAATTGGTTAAGAAAACCCAGCAAATATATGTAAGAAGGGATGAGGAAAACGCAAAGGCTAAGGTGAAAATATTTGCAGACTTTTTGCAACCCCAAATGAATACACCACAGGGTTCAAGGGGTCCCCCGGGGCAGAGGGGACGGCGTTGGCCACAAGGAAGTGGCAGAGGCGTTCCCTCCTTGACAGGGAGAGCCGACCCAAACAGCGGCTGGGGAGGAACCAGTGTGCTGCCTGCAAGGCAGAAGGGCATTGGAAAAGGGAATGTCCACAGAAACAGCTGGATCCTCAGGAGGAGGAAGTCCAGAAGATCATGAAAATGGATTGTTAAGAGTGTCAGGAGCTCCCATGATATCAAGGACCCACCACTTTAGAGCCCTTGAGAATTTTTAAGGTGGGTCTGGATCGAGAGGAGGTGTGTTCTGGTACACACACAAGGACATCTTGATCCACCTTAAATTTTATACCTAAGGGGCAGAAACTGCCAAAAAGATCATTGGTTATTCAAGGAATGAGTGGAAAGGATGAAGGAGTGCATTTTATTCACCCTCTCTTAATAGATGTGGAGGACAGGTTTAAAATGCATAAATTCCTCTTTCTTCCTAATTGTGATTGTAATTTAAGAGGAAAAGGTTTGATGACGAAAGTGAAAATGCAAATTAGGATTGTAAAAAATGACACGGAGTCCAACACTGTAATATCTTTGTGGAAAATGTCTGAAAAGGCTTATGCTAAAATAAACCTGGACGTGTGGTGAGACCCAAAGAAATACAGGAAACTTGACACAGAGCCTCTCCAAATGACTTTGAAGCAACCAGGACAAGTGGTGTCTAAAAAGCAATACCCTCTTTCAAGGGAGGGAAAGAAGGGGTTACAGCCTGTCATTGAGTCCCCGCTACAAGCAGGTCTTTTAGGGCCGTGTATGTCTCCCTACAACACCCCTATCCTGCTGGTTAAAGCACCAGCTAGAACCTACAAGATAGTGCAAGATTTAAAAATAATAAATGAAATTGTCAGATCAAGGCATGCCACAGTTCCAGATCCCCTATACAATCCTGAACCAGATCCCTTCTTCACATCAGTATTATTCAGTCCTGGATTTGAAGGATGCTTTCTAGGGGAGTCCAATTGCAGAAGACAGTAAGGAGTATTTTGCCTGTGAGTGGGAACAAGAGGAAGGAAAGAAAATAGGGAAGCAACAATTGACATCGACAGTCCTCCTGCAGGGATATCCAGAGTCACCGGTTTTGTTTGGGAAAGCTTTGCAGAAAATATGAAAAGAGTTTACTCCAGCCTCAGGAGTTAGGTTGTTACATTATGTGGATGATTTGCTTTTATCAGGGAAACAGGAAAAGGTAGTTGAAGAGGCTACTGTAAAGCTGCTTAATTTTCTTGCTAAAAAAAGACTTGAGTGTCCAAAAAAAAAGGACAGTTAGTAGAAAAAAAGGTCAAATGTTGAGGACGTATTCTGACTGGAATGTTAAATGTATTGATCCAGAAAGAATACAAGAGATTTTACTGGTACCATTAGCCCAGCCGAAAAAAGAGTTACAGCAGTTTTTAGAGTTATTGGGGTAGTGCAGAGTATAGACTGAAGATTTTTCTGTTGTGGCCAGACCTTTATATTTCTTTTTAACCCAAGACAATCCTAATGTCATCCTATGGACACCAGAAGGAGAGCAAAGCTTTAGAGAATTAAAATACAAATTGGTTAATGCCGCAGTCTCAGCCCTTCCTGACTCAGAAAAAGAATTTGAACTATATGTGAACGTAAAACAGGGTGATGCTAAAAGAATTTTGGTGCAAGAGCATGGGGGAACACGGAGACCTGTTGCCTATTTTCCTAAGCCCTTAGACCTGGTGGCCAGATGCTGGCCCCTTTGTCTGCAAAACTGTGCAGCCACAGCTCTGATCACGGCTAGAGCCTGAAAGCTGACAAGGGGGAAGGTATCTGATTGTTAAAGTTTCACATCAGATTAAAGCTTTGTTAACTAAGAGACCCTCTAAGTAGATGACCAGTGCTCAGTTATTCCAGTATGAGTCTTGTTTAATGGAACCAGAGGATTTAGAATTTAAAATTAGGAAAAGGTTTAACCCAGCCTCCTGTTTGAACAGCCCTGAAGAGGGGGGACAGGAAGAAACCCATGACTGCATTCAGGTAGTAAATCTCCAGATGCAAATGAGAGAAGATTTATGAGATAGTCCCTGGCCTGAGGGAGAAAATGTGTTTATAAATGAGTCTTCAAGAGTGCTAGAAGAGAAATTATTTACAAGATATTCTATCGTCAATAGAAAGCAATTAAGAAAAAAAGGAGGCGGTTACTGCCCACCTGGTCAGCTCAGACAGCAGAACTGTGTGGGCTTGTGAGAGCCTGTGAATTATATCAGGATGTAGAGAATATTTTAACAGAAGGTGGGCATGATATTTTAGTAAAAGCCTGTCTGCACAAACCAGCCTTTGGTATAAGTTGCAATATTAAAGGCTAATGTCCTTGAAACTTTCCTGAAGCAGAGAGAATGAAGAAAAACTTGTGTCTAAGAGAAAAAATGTAAACCTGTGTGTATAAGCCAATGGTAACATGCTTAGCCTGCGGACCCTGTAAAACCCTATAAGAGTGTGCTAAAGATAGAAATAAACGATGTTTGCCATACTTCTGTGAAGACTG